TAGACGAGGTTGAAGAGGAAGTGCTTGTTGTGGTGCTGCTGCTTGTCGAGGTGGTCGAAACTGTGCTTGATGACGACGTTGTAGATGAGCTCGACGTGCTAGATGAAGAGGTTGAAGTTGAAGACGTTGAGCTGGATGATGTGGATGTTGTCGTGCTGCTGCTGGATGATGTTGAGGAAGATGATGTCGAGGTTGTGCTGGTTGACGATATGCTGCTGCTGGATGATGTTGTGGAGGTTGACGTGGAAGTGCTGCTCGTGCTGATCGAAGAAGTTGTGCTGGTGGACGCGGACGAAGATGATGACGTGCTGGTGGTTGTGGAACTTGTGCTGCTACTTGTGGAAGTCGAGGTCGTTGAGAAGGTTGTGCTTGAGGAGCTGGACGTTGAGGCGGTGCTTGTTGTTGAAGAGCTTGAGGTGGTGCTCTTGGACGTAGTTGATGAAGTTGTAGAGGTACTGGTGGAAGAGGTGCTCGTGCTGCTGGAGGTGGTACTTGTGCTGGTCGAAGTGCTCGTTGAAGTTGTCGATGAAGAGGTAAAGGTGCTGGAACTAGTTGACGTTTTAGAAGTTGATGAAGTAGTCCAAGATGAGGATGAAGTTGTCGAGGTGGAGGAGGATGTGCTAGACGAGCTTGTCGAACTTGTGCTGCTGGTGCTAGAGCTAGAAGACGTCGTTATAGACGTTGTTGTTGAGGACGTCGAAATTGATGTTGATGAAGAGGTGGCTGTAGTCGTGCTTGTGGACGAAGTTGTGGAAATGCTTGCTGTGCTGCTTGAAGTGGACGACGAGCTTGTGGACAAAGTGCTGCTTGTGCTAGTTGAGTAAGTGCTCGTCGATGTTATCGTGGAAGATGTTGAAACGGACGTGGTTGATGTGCTTGATGTGGAAGTGTCAGAAGTTGTGATTGTCGAGCTGGTCGTGCTTGTAACGGAGCTTGACGAGGAGCTGCTACTTGTCGACGATTTTGAAGTTGACGACGAGGAACTGGACGAGGAAGAGGAAGTTGTGCTACTCATTGAAGAAGAAGACGTTCTTGTTGCAGATGTAGTGCTGGTTGAGCTTGATGACGACGTGGTTGTGGCCGTCGTCGTGGACGTGGACTTACTCGAGGAAGAGGTCAGGGACGAAGTGGAAGAACTGGATGATGATGCACTGGTGGTGCTGCTAAAAGATGTTGTTGACGTCAGAGTGGTCGTGGAAGTTGCGCTTGTTGACGATGTGAGTGTTGTTGACACGCTGATGGTTGTGGTGCTGCTCATGCTTGCTGTTGAGGTCGGTGATGTTGATGTGCTCGTGCTGCTTGCAGTTGCCGTGCTCGTCAAAGTAGTGCTCGTGGCCTGCTTGATGGCATACTACACAACATGATCAACTGCAAACGTGTTGCATCTCAGTGCCCATGCAACGGCCAACACAGAATGCAGTCTTAGCAGCTGCAAGTCGACGAGTGGCAGCGTGGTCATCAGTGTGTCCTGAACTTGACGGCCGCAAGTTTCGCATCTTGCAATTCAACTGTCAACAGTCCTGCTAGTCGACGCGCGTCCATCGTATTGACAGACATGTCGCGAAACCCACCTACAGGACCACCTTGGTGAGGTAAATTTTCCTAGCTGTTTGCTTTGCACGAAACAATTGCGCAGCTCTGGGCGTCTGTATAATCATTTGCTATTTCCCTGCCGGCTGAGAGCTGCCTGCTATGGGCCATTGGGGCACAGCGAAGCTGCAAACCAGCGGCTGAATGTGAAACTCTGTGCCAGGGCATCCTCGGCAACTAGGAGCGTACACTGATTTACGCTGCATTGTGCACAAAAGCCACATGAAACTGTCTGGCAACAGGACACCATCTTCCTTAGTGATTGATGCGCGGTGTGTGGTGTGTATCAACATTACCCAAAGGACAAACGTGTTAAGTTTTGGTTCCGCCAATTTCCGCATCTGTCAATGAATTGTCAATGCTTGCAGGCCTTGCGCACATCCACCCGATACTGAACAGCCTGCACAGCCAAGGCACAAGATTGTCATCAAGGCGCACAGATCTGCTGGAAATTGTGCCTAGGTGTCACAAGTGCATACATCACACAACCCCTTTTAAAAGTTCTCGGTATATGGCCCTGGCTTTGATGTTTTTCTCGCCAAGTCGAATTGCCAAACTCGGGTGGTGCGCTGTCCTGGCATTTTCTAGGCAATCCCTCCATCCACGACTGCGAGACATATGGGACCAGTGCCAACAACATGGATACTACGGGAAGACTTGGGGCCGGCCCGGTTGAAACATGTTGAAACACAATCCGTTGATAATGCGGGGGCTCCCAATGAATTTTCTTTGTCGACTTTCATGCCTGCAGGAGGGGTTTGTTTTTTTTTTCCTCGGCTTTTTCCGCCTGCACGATGGTATGTCCAGTCGGTTCCAAGGCCCCCAACGTTGTGCCGCAGGCTGTGGCCGCTTCATGAGCGGGCGGGCAGGCGGCTGGCCGGTGGCTGGTTGCCTGCCGCGCCGCCTCCCGGAGGCAGCGCGCGCCTTCGAGGCAGCCAAGCGGCGGAGGAAGTCCGCCAACTCGGCGCCAAAACGGCCACCCACCTCAAGCGCCAACACGACCAGCCTGCAGCGACGAGCCGCCAACAGCTCTGGGTAAGTGGTTTGGCGCTTATGCCGCCACAGGGCAAGCGGCCCGGTGGTCTCCCAATGGACCGAGGCTCCCCCCACATCTGCATTGCCTTGGCGCGTGAGGCAAGGGCAGCCTCAACCGCCGAAGCAACACCACGCGCATGCACTCCGAGGGCATACGCAGCTCCGGCGAGGTGGGAAGCGCGGCGATGGCACGTGAGCCGCCAGGGCCAGCTTGAGACAACAGTAGCGCGCGCGAAGGCGGGTCAAGGTCAGAAAGAAGGCTCTCACACGCTGCCGCATCCAAGCTTGCCGTGGCGGCCCGCTGCCATCCCGGGTCGCCAAAGTTGTGCACCGCCGGTTCTTCAGGGCGAGCAGATTCGATCAACTGATGCCATGTTGGGGCGTTGAATCCCGCCCGTTGTAAACAAGATTGCGAGCTCAAGGCGGCGGCCACGCAAGGGAGAAGGCCGCCTTCCCTACGTTGTTGCGACGCGGCCTGGCTGAGCAACCCCTCCACAACCACAACCACAGGGTGTCTCCCACGAAGTCTTGGGAGAGTGTCCGCCCAAGATGCCCAGTGTGGCGCTATGCGCGAGGTTTCGGCTGACCGCAAGCCGAGGCCGCCGAAGTGCAGCGGCAGTTGTGCCCTTTTGGTGGCGAGGGCATCCAATAACGGCGGCGAGTCGTTGGCCAAAAGCTCCCGCAAACAATCAAGGACCGCCTCATCATGGCTGCGGGCGAAGGCCGCCGTGGAAGAGGGCGGCAAGGCGCGGAGTAAGTAGTGGCAACGCGCAGCCGCACACATGAGCAACAGCAACCAAGCCGCCTGCAAGTCGGGGACAATCGGTATCTTGGAGAACAACGATGCTTGCGCCTAGATCTCTTGTCGCAGGAACGAGTCAACAAAAGCGTCGCTGCCCAGCGGTGTGCCAAGTACGACCATGCCTTGTTGCTCGGCAGGCAAAGAATGGGTGCCGACCCACACTGGTGGGCGCCCGGGTTGCGGCGGCACCTCCGCCGCAAGGCCTTCTGGCTCCACGCCCGCGGCATTCCAAACCCGCGTTTTGCCAAGGTGTAAGTCTATGTTGGCGTATTCCGCCAGTGCGCTGCGAAGGGCACGGAAAGTTGGGACGACTCGCTCAACCGGGCATGTGATGTACGTATCATCCAGGAAGGCGAAGAGGTCCTGGTCGAGTCTCTTGACTACGCTTCGAAGCTGGGCGACTGGTCAGGGGCTGTGCTGTCACCGCATGGGCTGGCTGTACCCGCAGTAGCAGCCTGCTGCGGTGGACGGCGGAGGCGAGGGGCCCAGGTCGCGGTCGACACGACGCGCGTCAGGCCCTTGCAGGGACGGGCAGCCGTGACCCTGTGCAGCCGCGGGGCCGGGGCTGGCGTTGCAGCGGGCCACGGCGCGCAAGCACTGCACATACCCTGACCTTTTTTTTTCTCGGACTTTTATGCCTGCACGACAAGCTTGGTCCAGTCTGGCGCAGCTACACCTACTTTCTACCCCTGCCAGACCTTGCTGCTAGCGCAGCGGCAGGCGTGACGGCCCCGCCGGCTCGGCCATGTGCAGGATCTGGTCGAGCTCCGGGCCCGGCGGTTGGCTGTGGGCGCGGGCCAAGCATTGCCGAGTGCCGTGCTGGCGACAGCCTGTTGCACGGCCACAGCCAATTGTGACCACCACCGCCTTGCCCAAGCCGACGCTGCTGCTTTGCGGAGAGCGGGCGGGGCACGTTGTGCTCGCACGCGGACCAGATCGCGCAAGAGGCGCAGAGCGCCTTCGTTGCCACCGACCTCAGCGCCTAGGACCACAACCCGCAGAGCGGCGCCATCAATCGCAGCGCAGGGCTGCGGCTGCCCAGCGCGCGTAAGTGGGGAGACCAACAGGGCGATTCCCTCGCACCGGCGTTGTTTGCGCTAGGCCAGCACGACGCGCTGGCGACAGCAGCACGACAGCTTGAGGCGGGGGGAATTCTTGGCAGCCTTCCTGGACGACATTTACGTCGTCACATCACCGTCGCGTGCCCGCGACCAGCTGGATGCTGTCACTGCCACCATTGAGCGCGAGGCCAGGGTGGCTGCAAACCGCCACCAGGCATTCGCGAGCTCGGCGAGGAAGTTTGGCGCGGCGACAAGCCTCCCGCAGAACGCGCCGCTCCCCGAGCTCAGCATCTGCTGCGTACTGTTCCTCCGGCCGCCATAGCCGAGTACGCACGGGCGCATGACGATGAGGTTTGGCGGACGCTGCAGGGACATGCTGGGCGGTCGAACCGCTGATGCAGAGCCCGCCCAGCGCCGGCCCGCGATATTGCCTTCCTGCTTGCCTCCCTCGGAGGCCTGGGCCTCATGCATGCCGAGCGTCTTTCTCCCGCAGCCTACTGGGCAGCATGGGCGGACGCATTGCCAGTGCTGCAACAACGGTGCCCAGAGGCGGTTGAGCGCTGTCTACAGGAGCTCAAGGCCGGTAGCAAGGCCGCGGCGCCAAGCCCTCCAGGCTGCCGCGGTTGCAGGCGTGCACTTCGAGGGCCACGGATGGGACCAGCGGCGCGGCTGGGAAGCGTGTCTACGAACAGCGGCGCCGCAAGCGGCGCGCAGGGAGCCCGGCGTGTGGGCAAATGGTTGGCAAAGGGATGCTGCTCTCGCACTCCACACTTCTTTCCGAGAGCAGGTTCTGCTGCCGGCCATTCGGCCCAGCGACCGTGCGCTGCTGCGTGCCCCAAGCAGGTCCACATGCAGGGGCAACACTTGCGCCAGATATCATGCACCTTGCGCTCCGGCGCCGATTGCGTCTCCCTCTGCCTCTCACACGAGCCAGGTGTGGGGGGGAAGGAGCGCCGGGCTGCCGCGCTCTGGTTCTCAGCGGCAAGAACACACAGGCGATGGTGGCCACCGCGAGTGAGCTCGGGGTAACGTGCCAGCTTGCGGCGCTGTGCCGTCGCAATTGCGACCCCATCCCGCTCAGGCGCTCCCGCTTGGGGGCTGCCATCGCGTCGGACAGGTGACACAAGTGTTGCATCGCAGCACAGGGCCTCGCCGCGTGCGGCAGCACCATATATGACGAAATCGAGCCGTCGTCGATCGTCTGCTGCGACCCCTGGTGCCGTGGTGTTGGCCAGCCACTGCTGTGGCACAACTCTGCCTTCTGGCCCGATCGCCTCCCGGCCAACCTGGATCCAGGCTCTTTCGAGCACGAAGCCGCGGCGCGCCAGCAGGCCAGTGCGCGGGCACGCCAGGGCGTGATCTCCCAGGTTGTCGTCGGGGGGCGCTGGAACGACGAATCCCAGCGCTTGGTGCAGCGCCTCGTTGCAATGCGTGCGCGCCGTGCCCCTGCCACGCTGCGCACCGCGGCCCCACAGGGTTGGGCAGGGCGCTGGTGGGGTGCCTTGGCGGTTGCGGTCCAGCGAGCGACATGCAGCGCCGTCCTCGGAGTTTGGACAATGCCGCCATTGCCGGCAGCCGAAAACGACGTGCCGCTTGCAGAGGTCCTCCAGTTCGCAGCTGACACGGCGCCCAGCAGGCTGCCGCTGCGAGAAGGCCTTACGGCTTACGTGTTGGCCCTTGGCTTCCCGTAGATGCCATGCCTGGGACCTGGACTGTCGTCGTGCGGGCGGAAAACAGGCGCGTGAAAAAAAAAAACGCACAAGCGCTTGGCAACAACGTTGGCAGAAGCACGCGCTCGCGGAAGTGGTTTCGAACTTTCGGGCCCGGGGCGGACCAGATGCCGCTGGGTCGACTCCTCCAACGGCGCAGAAATGTT